ATGAAATCAAACAAAGTTTAATTTTGGACCCTTTTGACCTCAATATGAACCAATTTGATAGCGGGCCCACAAATAAAAAATCTAAATACATGGTAAGATTCAGCATATCAAAGAACCCCATATATTCAATTTTTGTTGAAATCAAACAAAGTTTAATTTTGGACCCCAACTTGGACCAACTTGAAAACTGGGCCCATAATCAAAAATCTAAACACATGTTTAGATTCAGCATATCAAAGAACCCCAAGAATTCAATTTTTGTTAAAATCAAACTAAGTTTAATTTTGGACCCTTTGGACCTTAATGTAGACCAATTTAAAAACGGGACCCAAAATTAAAAATCTAAATACACGGTTAGATTTGGCATATCAAAGAACCCCAATAATTCAATTTTTGATGAAATCAAACAAAGTTTAATTTTGGACCCTTTTGACCTCAATATGAACCAATTTGATAGCGGGTCCACAAATAAAAAATCTAAATACATGGTTAGATTCAGCATATCAAAGAACCCCAAGAATTCAATTTTTGATGAAATCAAATAAAGTTTAATTTTGGACCCTTTTGACCTCAATGTGGACAAAGATGATAACGGGGCCCAAAAATCAAAAATCTAAATACATGGTTAGATTCAGCATATCAAAGAACCCCATATATTCAATTTTTGTTGAAATCAAACAAAGTTTAATTTTGGACCCCGATTTGGACCAACTTGAAAACTGGGCCCATAATCAAAAATCTAAATACATGTTTAGATTCAGCATACCAAAGAACCCTAAAAATTCAATTTTTGTTAAAATCAAACTAAGTTTAATTTTGGACCCTTTTGACCTTAATGTAGACCAATTTTAAAACGGAACCAAAAATTAAGAATCTAAATACACGGTTAGATTCGGCATATCAAAGAACCCCAATAATTCAATTTTTGATGAAATCAAACAAAGTTAAATTTTGGACCCTTTGGACCTCAATGTGGACCAATTTAAAAATGGGGCCCAAAATCCAAAAACTTAATACACGGTTAGATTCAGCATATTAAAGAACCCCTAGGTTCAAGAATAAAACCCCATTGAAATTGATCAAGAAATAAGCAATTTATACGAAGTATCTTCTTTTGCACAATAATGTGCAATTGAATATTTCTTGCTATTGTGCAATACTGTACAATTGACAATTTCTTGCTATTGCGCAATATTGTGCTATTGGATATTTCTTGCTATTGCGCAATACTGTGCAATTGAAGATTTCTTGCTATTGCGCAATACTGTGCAATTGAAGATTTCTTGCAATTGTGCAATACTGTGCAATTGAAAATTTCTTGCTATTGCACAATACTTATTATATAATAATTTACACATCCTGTTTGGTGTGTATCTCCTACCATATCATTATTATTTGCTTTTAAATATTAATCAGAAATAACCAACTTAAAATGGAAAATTTTAAAAGAAAAAAAAAAGGAAAAAAAGAAAAAAAAAGAAAAAAAAAAATCCCCCCCCCAAATTTTTTGAACCCCCTTATGATTCATCACCCCCAAACTCAATCCCTGCCTTCCCTTTGTGGTATGGTACCTTGCAGTACAATTTCAGAGAGATCCATACACTTGAACACAAGTTATTGTCTGGAAACTAGAAAAATGCTTATTTTTGGCCCCTTTTTGGCCCCCAATTCCTAAACGTTTCGGGCAATTACCCCCAAACTCAATTCCAGCTTTCCCTTTGTGATATGGAACCTTGTAGTACAATTTCAGAAATATCCAAACACTTACACACAAGTTATTGTCATGAAACTAGAAAAATGCTTGTTTTTTGCCCCTTTTTTGGCCCCTAATTCCTAAAATTTTGAGGCAATTACCCCCAAAATCAATTACAGCCTCCCTTTGTGATATGGAACCTTGTGGTACAATGTCAGAGAGATCCATACACTTACACACAAGTTATTGTCTGGAAGTTACAAAAATGCTTATTTTTGGCCCCTTTTTGGCCCCTAATTCCTTAACTGTTGGTACCATAACCCCCAAAATCAATCCCAACCTTCCTTTCGTGGTATAGAACCTTATGGTAAAATTTCATGGCGATCCATTCACTTAAACTAAAGTTAGAGTGCGAAAACCAATGTGTCTTCGGACGACGCCGGACGACGCCAGACGACGACGACGACGACGACGACGACGCCAACGTCATACCAATATACGACCAAAAAATTTTCAATTTTTGCGGTCGTATAAAAAGGAAAAAAAGAAAAAAAAAGAAAAAAAAAAAATCCCCCCCCCCAAATTTTTTGAACCCCCTTATGATTCATCACCCCCAAACTCAATCCCAGCCTTCCCTTTGTGGTATGGTACCTTGCAGTACAATTTCAGAGAGATCCATACACTTGAACACAAGTTATTGTCTGGAAACTAGAAAAATGCTTATTTTTGGCCCCTTTTTGGCCCCCTATTCCTAAACGTTTCGGGCAATTACCCACAAACTCAATTCCAGCTTTCCCTTTGTGATATGGAACCTTGTAGTACAATTTCAGAAATATCCAAACACTTACACACAAGTTATTGTCATGAAACTAGAAAAATGCTTGTTTTTTGCCCCTTTTTTGGCCCCTAATTCCTAAAATTTTGAGGCAATTACCCCCAAAATCAATTACAGCCTTCCCTTTGTGATATGGAACCTTGTGGTACAATGTCAGAGAGATCCATACACTTACACACAAGTTATTGTCTGGAAGTTACAAAAATGCTTATTTTTGGCCCCTTTTTGGCCCCTAATTCCTTAACTGTTAGTACCATAACCCCCAAAATCAATCCCAACCTTCCTTTCGTGGTATTGAACCTTATGGTAAAATTTCATGGAGATCCATTCACTTAAACTAAAGTTAGAGTGCGAAAACCAATGTGTCTTCAGACGCCAGACGACGACGACGCCAGACGACGACGACGCCAACGTCATACCAATATACGACCAAAAAATTTTCAATTTTAGCGGTCGTATAACAATTCACCAAAGTTTGAAACAAATTGGTGAAAGCGTTTTTGAGTTAATGTCCAACATGTTGGCGACGGACGGACGGACAGACGGACGTACAACGGTATACCATAATACGTCCCATATACGGGCGTATAAAAAGAAGTAGGTGTCTTGACTGATCTAAAAGTGCACATACTTTACAACTCATCACAGTAGAGCTGTTGACCAAATATGAAGTCATTTTGTCCAGTTGTATAGGAAAAGTATGTGAAAAAAATATGTTCATTCAACATATTGAAAAATTCAAAGTAGGTATCTGTCAAATCCTTAAGGTGTTTACATACGTCATACTTTATTTGGCCTTTTTAATTTGTTTGATTTGAGCGTCAATGACAAGTCTTTTGTAGACGAAACAAGTGTCTGGCATTCACAATTTTAATTCTGGTATCTCTGATAAGTTTATGTTACAACTCATCACTTCCAAGCTGCTGAACAAAGTTTAGTAAATCAGTTAAATAGTTTCTGAGAAAAGTGATGAAAATACTTTGTGGATGAAAAAACAGACAAGGTGTTTGCAATGCTCCTGGAGTAGGAGTATAATTTTAACTTTAAAGTAATTGTTTTACTAGGGTTAATATCAAATGGATCTTGGTCAAAATATTACAGTGACCAATATTTTCCTGCCGCATTTTTAAATAATAATAAAATGCTCCGCTGGGGCGCAGCTTGATACGACCGCAGAGGTCGAACCCTGAACAGTTGGGGCAAGTATGGACAAAACATTCAAGCTTGATACAGCACTGAATTTGGATTGTAATTAAATATTTGACACAGCATAGGTTTCTGACACAGAATGAAAGTGGTCTAAGAACTTAAAAAATTTTAATTTACCTATTCAAACCATATTATTATTATTGCTTTTATATATAAATCAGAAATAACCAATTTAAAATGGAAAATTTTAAAGAAAAAAAAGAAAAAAATAATCCCCCCCCCCCAAATTTTTTGAACCCCCTTATGATTCATCACCCCAAAACTCAATCCCAGCCTTCCATTTGTGGTATGGTACCTTGCAGAACAATTTCAGAGAGATCCATACACTTGAACACAAGTTATTGTCTGAAACTAGAAAAATGCTTATTTTTGGCCCTTTTTGGCCCCTTCTTCCTAAGCTTTTTGGTCAATTACCCCCAAAATCAATCCCAGCCTTCCCTTTGTGGTATGGTACCTTGCAGTACAATTTCAGAGAGATCCATACACTTGAACACAAGTTATTGTCTGGAAACTAGAAAAATGCTTATTTTTGGCCCCTTCTTCCTAAGCTTTTTGGTCAATTACCCCCAAACTCAATTCCAGGTTTCCCTTTGAGATATGGAACCTTGTAGTACAATTTCCTAAAGATCCATACACTTACACACAAGTTATTATCATGAAACTAGAAAAATGCTTGTTTTTTGGCCCCTTTTTGGCCCCTAATTCCTAAAATTTGAAGGCAATTACCCCAAAATCAATCCCAGCATTCCCTTTGTGATATGGAACCTTGTGATACAATGTCAGAGAGATCCATACACTTACACACAAGTTATTGTCATGAAACTAGAAAAATGCTTGTTCTTTGCCCCTTTTTTGCCCCTAATTCCTAAAATTTGGAGACAATTACCCCCAAAATCAATCCCAGCATTCCCTTTGTGATATGGAACCTTATGGTACAATGTCAGAGAGATCCATACACTTACACACAAGTTATGTCTGGAAGTTACAAAAATGCTTATTTTTGGCCCCTTTTTCCTTAACTGTTGGTACCATAACCCCCAAAATCAATCCCCACCTTCCTTTTGTGGTATTGAACCTTATGGTAAAATTTCATTGAGATCCATACACTTAAACTAAAGTTAGAGTGCGAAAACTAATGTGTCTTCGGACGACGACGACGACGACGCCAACGTCATACCAATATACGACCACAAAAATTTTTTTGCGGTCGTATAAAAATTGTAATAAAAACTGTTTTTTTTTAATTTATACTACACAATATACCTGATGTTGATGGGCTATAGTTTGTTTCACTAATACACTTTTAATACTCTGTTCCATGGCATACTTTTTGGCCCTTTGTATGGACTCTTGGTGAGATGAAGAAAGCTTAGGTAAAACAAAAGGTTTAACATCTCTCTTCGCCCCTGGACCTTCCAACAGAGTACCTAGTTGATCAGCTTGTGGACCTCCAATAGTGCCATTGAAATCTGTAAAATTGAAAAATCCCAAATAAGAAACATTTCTTGATATTGTTACCCCCCACTAGGATTAACATACAGAATGCTGAATAAGCCAAATTAATATGCACTTTTTATTTTATATTTTATGTCAATTTTCAGAAAGGTGATTTAAAACATGATTAAGATAACCAGCAAGCTGAGCTCACGAATGCATACCCCTCTCTATTTGTATAAATACATGTGCATAACAAAAGATCATTCACCTGGTACCCCTGCTTAGTAAGCAGGAATGCAATATATGTTCATTGCTTACTGTTTCCCCAAGCATGTTTATTTAGGAACAAAAAATACATACATTTCTATTTCTTATTTCAAATACTTTTGATTTTTCAGAGGATATATTTTAGTTTTGTTTTGCATACATTCAGTTCAATTTCATTTTTTTATAGTTACTGCAAATTATAAACAAAATAAAAAAAAGACTTGAAAATAAATTATGAATAAATCTCCCTTAATAAATATATGAGTTCCATTTATCTTTTTGAGTAAATTTAGCTATTTCTACCATGCTAAGGGAAACAATCTATTCCTTACATTATTCCTTTATGATTTGAATTTCCATATACTTATCTTCTACAAGACCTGAATTAATTATGGATTCAGTTGTTGTTTTGCATTATTCAATTGCAATACAATTCTTAATAACAAAATAAAAGTGTTGTCCCCATCTTAACACAATCTTTACCGATAGTTCTCCACATAGGCTGATGTTATGGCAACAAGCCTTCAATGATTTTTGGTCGGTGGTGCATGTTTTTTCACTCGCTACTTTTATATGAAAAACACAGAAGTAAAAAGAAAGAAACCACATGAGTATGACAATCTAAAATTTTCCATAGCGTGAGTGGCACATATTTAATTCAATACTATGATAAACAATGTATATAAGGGGCAGACTATGTAAAATGAGGTCATTTAATTTTAGTTTCTCAAAGAATTTAAAGACAAATCAACAATTATCCAATAATTTCTTATGAGAAAATATTGAATATAATTTTTTTTAAAGGAGATTTTTCTTCTATATTAATTTTAAAATTTTTGAGATTATGAGAAACTAATATTTTATTATGACCTAATTCAAGACATATTTCAACTTTAAATGATGTAATATATAAGTTATCATTTACTTTGTATTTTCAATAGATACAAAACTAAATTATAAATAGCTCATAACCAAATAATAATGAGTTTTACAAAGAAAATTTAATTAATAGCCAATGTCTGTCAATTAACAAACAATATGAAAATATGTCTTGTCAAATCTGAACGATAAGATATATTCTTCTGAACTGCAGCATCTTGTGATCAATCTATGGAGAAAAACAAAGTTTATTAGTAAATGGAGTAATTAACGTCTGCAAAGAATAAAAAAGACTAATACATAACTATTAAGTAGAAATATACAATAAAACCTTGTTACCCTTGTGAAGAACAAAAGTCTACAAATTAAATTAAATGACAAAAGGAGAAAACACACTGGTGGATCCAGAGGGCATTGTAATAAAACAAAATTCCATAAAAATCTATGAATTTCATAGATCTACAATTTCAGATTGTATTCCCCTTTTAATTTTTTTTATCTACCGGTATGCTTGAAACAAATCGCAACGAAATGCGGTTTTAATCAATAAAACGATGACTTTTTTTTTTTCAGTCCTCTAATGATGTGAATAGTCCATATTATCATTGTTTAAGTAAGAGACATATTTCATTGAAGCTTTGTCTACTGGACAGAATCTGCAATGAGTGAAGATTTGCATATTTACAAACTTGTGAATGTATTTAAATAAATAAGACAATGGTGAATTGTCATATGAAATCTATGATAGAATAACAGGGTTTTACTGCATTTACATTTGCCTTAACACATAACTACACTGGGAAATGTGAAATCAAATATCATATAAGAACAAGTATATACTAATCTAATTGAATGTTTTAGGACGAAAAAAAATCAACAAAATACGCATTTCCAAGTAATTGAACAATGTATATTGCTGGCTGAGATGAGATTATTTGAATCATAAAAACATCTGACTTAGCAGTGGTAAAATATAAGAATTTTTGCTTAAAAATAATACTGTTGGGAAACATTTCGAAAATTTTTCCTAGATAAGCATTTTATATTGTGGCAATATACAATTTTTTCATCTATTAGTTATCAACCACTGATCATGATAATAAATTATTTGATCAAAATTGAGTAATTGTTTTTAAGGATTAAACAATTCCCCTATATATCTTTTTGTAACTTGTTTTATTTTATTTCTATGAACATTTTATTATTTTTATCATATCACTTGAGAGTTATCTTCCCTGAAGGTTAAGTATTAAAATATCAAAATAAAATAACACTTAAGTTATTATAATGCAGTACAATGCTAAGATTTGAAACACTTTAGAAAGAAAAAATCCTCAAAACCCTGAACTATTGAAACAGATAGCACAAAGTATGACATTATTGAGGCTGATGCAAATCACTTTATCACTTTGGCTATACAAATAATTCTATCTAAACCTAAAATATTAGTTTACTTTGTGCAAAATTTGCTGATGTCAACATAGACTAGTTGATAGAAATCGATTTGAAGATTTTTTCCCTAAACTGTCCCTTACAATTTTATCATTAAAAAAAATATATGAAAAATAAATCTTATTCTTATACTCTTTACAGATATTATAATAGTAGCACTTGAAACTTGAAAATCAATATCAATCTATCACTTTGATTCTTTTAGGGTTTAAACTACTACATATTTTTACAGCTTATGTTATTATATAAAAAATCATTTTTAAAGCCTTTCCAGATATCATTTATATATTTTTCAAAGTACCAGATAACATCAAGAGCTATCAAGAACCAAATTCATTGAGAGAATTCATTTTCATGGATCAAAAGGTTGTAAATTATATTTAACATGTTTCCCAAAATTTAAATGTATTAATTTTATTTTATACAGTTCATTACTTTTAAATGTTTAGTCATCACATTGTTTTTAGTCATAGTGATATATTTAATTCAAAACAGGCAATTTGTTTCGAAATGTACAAAACTAGACAAATTTTATCCATGAAAATGAATTCATTGCACTTTTATAATTTTAAAACAGCCCTGAAGGTGAAGCCATCAACAAATGCCCTAAGGTGTCTTCAGCAGACACTGTTACAGCTGTTAATCATTCCTGAAAGCAGAAATCAAATTCATATACATGTAGGTGTAGTTCTATGAGAAACACAACAATAAATCACCATGTTTTAAACTTCATCCCCCAAAACTGTCAGTAAGGGCCAAATCAAATTTTTTGCAAACCAGTTTCCAAAAGTAACTCAATTAAAGCTATTTTTATGGATTCTTATTTCTTTTTTAATTCAATCTTACTATAGAATTTCAGTATAGCACTATCACATTAGAAATTCTTGAGAATTTGATTAAAAGAGCAGTAACTATAAAACAAAAGTCTGTTTCTTGGAGTTTTGAAATATATGTTAATCAAATACAGTTTCCTTAATCTAAATCTTTCTTAATTTTTCCTTTCTACAACCCCTTGTCAATTTATATTTCCTATCACATTCATACAACAATTTCCATTTTCAAAAGAGGTCCACAAAATTCTTAGGTCATCTGGACATTCTTTTCGACAAATCTTGCCTCCTTTGGCCATCTCCAATTGTCAGTTACTGCAAATACAGAGAAAGAAAGAGAAACTCTGTCAGTATATGTCCATAAAAATCTTCTGTCGACATAAGAATGTAGGTATTTTATGTATTTTTACACATAGAACACTGCAGTTTGTCATTATCTTTTTATTCGTTGTTACAGTATAGCTTACATTTATTAATTTTTTCTCCTCACACATATATTACACATGAAAATATAAAAAAATTCCATTGTCTCCTGCAGTAACGATTTAACAAAGTTTCAACATTTAACTTCATTAGTATTGAATTACAAGAACATGGATTTTAAATATTTCAAAATTATTGTGTTGCAATTGTTAGCAAGAAAATAATGATTATGATATAAATATGCAACAATATTTTTTGGATGCACGAATGAACACTCCATTTGTTATTCTTTTCTGCAGGCATCTTCTACGGCAGATTGACTCTGTTCTTTTCAACTTTTGCTGCAAACCTGCTTTAAACAGATAGAACAGAAAAAAGAAATAACATTATTCTATTGATAAACATACATGGTTGTTATAATGAAAAACCTGCAGGTCTATGCACGATTAACAAAGGTAGATTGTTGATATATTTAAAGAAATGTCTGAAAATCAGATTTAACCATTTACATACCAAAAAATGTCACTGATTTTACGAATTTTATAATCAAATTTTAAGGAGTTTGGTAAACAAAACTAACAATTGGAAACACACCAGATATTTCACATTAATATATAAAGCCAAAGTAATTTCATGTAAGAAAATTTATTAAAGAACCTGCATGTTTTGTACATACATATTTACAAATAATATTTATACCTACAAAACTTATGAACCTAAAAAATAATGATTATATAAGCTACATGTAGTCTCACATAAATACATACATGTAGATTTTGTATTTTTATATTTGGGGGGAAACAAATCAGAAAATTACATAGATTTATCATGATAACATTAAAAATGACATGTTCAAGGTTCATTTGTGTTTTTGCCAAGTGTTTTTCTGTGCACTTTTGCTTTGTACAAGTACTACAAACATATGTGACCAAGTTATACTTGGCCCTATGAGATCCAAGTTTACCTAGAGCTGATAGCTTCATCATCTTTAATTCTGGCTCTGCCATTGCCATCGCCATCTGAAAAATTAATGGAAAATACTTTAACATTAAAGCTTCTAAAAACATTTTTTCATTTACATTTTCAATGTTTACTACAGGAAGTATCGGCAGGGTATGGTGTCCTGAAGCATTTCTTGATGCTCAGTTATTTTTTGTAGAAATTTTAGACGCCATGCCACTATCTGTCGTATTTTATAACATCCGGTCATATATTAAGTTCAGAAATGTGAGTTATCTTTCAGTTAGACTGTTCAAGTTATTCCCTTTGGAGACAATAAAAATTATATCTTGTGGATGTATATGTATAATTTAAGGTATAAATACATGACATATGAATTTAAGTAATTCAACTAGAGGAAACAAGAAAAAAAAATCCTAGCACTGTAGTGGTAAAAGAATATAAAAAATGGAGAATGTGTCCCCATGGACACAGATGATGCCCCCGCTTGCATACAACATTATAAAGGGACATAACTCAAGAACAATAAAAGTGACGCTACCAAAATTTGTACTTGATCTGAGATTTGTAGTAATTAGTATTGTGTAAAGGTTTCATAATGTTTGGTTGGGGCAAACTTAAGTTACAGAACGGAAACTAAAAATTTTGCAATTTTTCGATTTATAAAGGGGCGTAACTCGATAATGATTAAAGTGACGCTATTGAAATTCAACTTGATCTGTGTTTTGTGGTAAAAAGCATTGTGTATAAGTTTCATAACATTTGGTTGAGGCAACTGAAGTTAGAGAAAGGAAACTAAAATTTCTGCATTTTTTTCCATTTATAAAGGGGCATAACTCGAGAATGGTTAAAGTGACTCCACCAAAATTCAAACTTGATCTTTATTTTGTGGTAATAAACATTGTGTGTAAGTTTCATAACATTTGGTTGAGGCAAACTTAATTTAAAGAACGAAAACTAAAAATTTTGCAATTTTTCCATTTATAAAGGGGCATAACTCAAGAACAGTTAAAGTGACGCCACCAAAATTCAAACCTATAATTTGTGCCATTTTAAAGAAAAAAATATTTTTTAGCACTATCAAATAGTTACTAAATTAAGGGATTGTTACTCACTAGAGGAATAGTTCCCCATTTCAAGCATTTGATGGGTTGTCCCCAACCTGTTAAAGGGACAAGTCAATGAATTCTAGTCAAATCGACACCTGGTTAAATCTGCATCTGGTCAAATCGGCACCCGGTAGAGTCAAATCGGCAACTGGTTCAATCGGCATCAAGTCATTTCGGCACATATGTTAAATACGTTGAATATATATCTTTTTAAAGTATTTTAAGCAAAAAGATTAAAATAAAGAAGGGGATGTACAGAAATATTGACTTATTAACATTTTTTGGTGGTTTCTGTATGTCTTTTTTTTTCGTTCAACTTAATTTATGTGTATTCAAGGTATTGATATTTGTTATGCATGTTTTAACCAGTTGAGCATTTTGCATGATTGTTGGTTTAAATGCTGTTTAAACTTTCCTGAAATACCACCTTAATTGCTGATTATTTTGCTGGTGAGTTTGATTAGTGATAGTTTTCCCTTTTATTGCTTCTAATAACAACAGCTTTGGTAATCGCTTCATTGTTTTTTTATTTAAGTTTTTGAAGAAAAAAACATCAATAACTACCTGTAAAGCGTTAAAACAACAAACTTGTATATTATATAAAATATTATTGGATGCCAAATTGACTCTAAATGGGTGCCGTTTGACCAGGTGCCGATTTGACTTTTTCTATGGGTGCCGATTTGACCAGGATAATGATCAAATCGGCACCCATAGAAAAAGTCAAATCGGTATCTGGTCAAACCACCAAAAAATGTTAATAAGTCAATATTTCTGTACATCCCCTTCTTCATTTTAATCTTTTTGCTTAAAATACTTTATACCTTTATACCTTTATCTTCGGGTCCTTAAAATAAGCCAAAAGCTTTTACTGACCCCTCATCTTGGATTGTCGTAATGCAATTTCTCCTCTCATAAGAAACGCATAATAATATATTTATATATATTATACTTATAAAAATAGAACTTATTTAGGTGTGCGCAGCTTAACAATTAACATGAACATATAAATTTATATGGGTTCCAATTCTCGCCATTTAACGCTGACTTAAATTCATTCAAAGTCTTTGCCGTCACTGTAAAATCTGACAGGTTATTCCACTGATCCACTACTCTAAATCTAGTATTATTAGATGGTGCTAAAGTAAATAAGCTCATCCAGTTTATATCATCTATACCGTGCAACGCTTTATATACTTGTATCATATCATTTCTATCCCTACGATATTCCAAGGTTGACAATCCCAATGAGCGTAATCTATCTTCATAACTTAAATGATTTATATAAATTTCTTTACGAGTTTAGTGGCCCTTCTTTGGACAGATTCCAATTTACGAATATCTTTTTTAAGGTGCGGAGACCAAACACATGTAGCATATTCCAACAGTGGACGAACAATTGACTTATAAAGAGTAAGAAACATATCCTGATCCATGTAGTCAAAGGAATGATGAATAAGAGATAAAATTCTCTGTGCTTTATTAACAATAGTACTAATATGTTTTTTAAAAAGATATATATTCAACATATTTAACATATGTGCCGAAATGACTACATCGGGTGCCGATTTGACCAGATGCCGATTGAACTTTGCTTTTAAACTAATGTTTATGACAAATTATACCTCTTCATCTAACGTAAAACCATTTTCGGTGAAAGGAATGCTGCCAATATCTGTCGCCATTTTGTCTTTCTGTAATAATGAATTTAGCACAGGTTAAAACCAACCCATATTTCCGGGAACGGGACCGTGATATTTTTTTAGATGAACGTTTGTTGTGTCATCTGTACTATTGTTTATCTGTTTGTCTTTTTGTTTTTGGCCATGGCGTTGTCAGTATGCTGCTGCTTTAACCGATTTAGTGCAAGCTTTTAGGTTACGTCTTATGAAGCCTAGTGTTTTGTTCCCTTTATCCACTATATTGTCAATATGTCTGTCCCGGGTTAGATTATCGCTGATTGTTACTCCCAGGTATTTGCTAGCTTCAATGGTGTCTATAGTGTGTGTCCATGTAATTTGTAATTTGTTGGTATTACAGGACGGTTCTTATAGGTTGTATTCGGATTACAATGCATTTTTTCGCATTGAAGCTCATTTGCCACTTATTAAGTTATTTTCCCAGTCCTCTAATGATGTTAGATCTTTCTGCAGTAGGCCACTTTCTGCTTGGTTGCTTATGGTTCTATAGAGGAGGCTGTCGTCTGCAAAAGTTTGGTCTCTGATGATGTTGCTGTTTCTGGCATGTCGTTTATGTTGGCCAGGAACAGTAGAGGTCAAAGAACTGTGCCTTGAGGTACACCAGAGAGTACTGGTACTTGTTCAGAGACAGCTCTTTCTAGGATAACGCTTTGCATTCTGTTTTGTAGGAATGATCTTATCCACTTGTTTGTCTTAGGGTTTACTCCGTAATAATCAAGTTTATGTAGAAGGCGATGGTGTGGCACTTCATCAAACGCTTTTGAAAAATCTAGTAGGATGATATCTACCTGGTTGTTACTTTTTAATTTTGATGCAATATCATGAATGGTGATGATTTATAGTTGGGATTCGCAAGATCGTCGTTAAAAGTTTAAAAGTTGTCGTTTTCATTTTTTAGTTTTTCTAAATGAAAATAATTTACTATATCAATACTATTGCCATAGTCTCTGGTTTTGTAAATTGAGTTCAATATTTCATCACATTAACAAACTCACTAAATTATTCGCTGTCTCATAGGGAGATAAAATCCGGAAATTGTAACCTACCTATCCGGAAATCATTTTTGTATTACTTTGAGGATGGCGACAATGGCGAACATGTGGATACGGTCAGCTCAAAGACTTTCGAATATTACTCAAATTCATGCGACTAGACAGGTTTTAAGAAGGTAAAATAGCTTTTTAAGAGACATATTAATATTTACGTATATTTGAACTATCATTTTGAAGATAGGACATTAAAAAAAATGCACAAGTTAAATGATGTAATGCCCTTTTGACGTTTACATAATTTCTTTATTAAGGATCTCCGTTTGTGTTGTTCATGAATAAAAGGAAGATATTAATGTGTGACATAAGCCATCCAATGATCAACTTGAGCTTTCTTATTAATAATTGCCTTCGTCAAAACAAACCATTTAGAAGCAGTACGCCAGTAGATGTTATCACAGCTATTCAATCAATATCAAGACTGGAATGCCCTAGCTGCCCACTAATATTACGATATTAATGCCAGGCCAAGAGTCTTGAATCTTTCACGGCTCAGTTACTTGCTTAAATATAAATCAGTTTGTTGTTACTTGCAAATTTTGTTCTGTACCAGACATTTGTACAGTGAATTTTTTGTTTTGTTATTTAATTATAATACAAATGTAAGAGATAAATTTGTCCTGGTAAAATATGTCCCGGCGGACACATATTACTAGTATTAAAAGTCCATGTTTACAGAATTTACTAGTATTTTTAGTCCGATGTTAGTAATTTATGTCCCCAGACTAATTTTCCTAGGAATTCAAGTCCATGTCATTAATATTCCTAGGTAAAAACGTCCATGTCCTTTTTTTTTTTATAGGAAAAATATTGATGAATCAAATCATTTACATTTAAACAATATTGGAAATTTAAATATTAAGTTTTAATATTGTTTAAGAGTTGTGTATTTATATTTTTAATAAAATTCATGTCCCCAGACTAATTTTCCTAGGAAATCATGTCCATGTCATTAATATTCCTAGGTAAAAACGTCCATTCCCTTTATTTTGAAAGTTTAATTTAAACGTTATGTTTAAATATTGTTTTAGAGTTGTGTATTAATATTTTAATAAAATGAATGTCCCCAGACTAATTTTCCTAGGACATCATGTCCTTAACAGGGCTTCCAAAATTATTTTTAGCCAGCCGGACATTTTATATATTATCCCGATTTTAATCCCTTAAGATAAAATTAACAAAAGACAATAATGGTAATCAGTTGCCGAGTTGGCCATCCCAATGATTGACAAAAAAACAATATTAAACTTTCTTTGATTCAAATTTGAAGTTCTGACGTAAACTGTTAAATTGGCAGTGCATCATTTGAAGTGTGCAACATCAGCGTACTTATACATTTGTATCTGCCTTAGACTCTTTATTTGTGCAAAATAACGTTGTCAAAAACTTTACTTTCGTTTTTAAATCTAAAAGCAGATGTTATCTTGACAATGGTAAAACATGGACCAGAGACGGATACGTAAATTCCGTGTACGTTTGCAAAGCATGAATGTGTGTAAGTAGCTCTTTCTACGTTATTTCTTCAAGAAAATATTCGAAATAAAAGTGAGATAAAGGTTTCAATGACAATTTAAGCATTTTTTGAAGAAATAAGGATGCATAATTAAATTTCACACTTGCGCACACGTGTACTAGTTAAAACAGAGACATGTCTCTGGTTCAAACAACGTGGTTATGAGGATTTTTCATTTTCACCTTTTAAATTTTTTCATCAAATCATATTTGCTAACCTATTTCTGATAATTTAAATCTTTTTGGCTAAATTAATTAGAAGCAAAACGCTGAAATATAAGAAAATAACTTTGAATAGACCGATCAATATCCGGTTCAAAACAGTTTACCTGTCACCTGAACAGGTAAATTTCAGCTGTTCAACAACTAATTAGCCTTGATTAAAATGAGAAGGTATTAAAGTAGGGGTTGTTTTGATAGTACTTAATGATCATGTCACTTTTATGACCGGAAATGTGTGGCTGTTAAAGGCAAAAGGTTGGGTCAAAAAGATCGTGAATTATGTTAAAATGACCGTCTTTTAAGCAAGAAAGCCTTGAAAACTAAAAAGTAGATGACCGTTTCATGCTTTGCCCAGCCGGACATTATACAAATGTCTGGCATATATGACCGTTTTGGAAGCCTTGGTCCGTAACATGCCTAGGTTATAACGTCCGGTCATGTCCTTTATTTTATTAGGAAGAATTAATGAAACTTTCCAATCTTTACTAAGAAAATATGTTGGTTTTTTTTTATTTTCAATAATTTTTAAAATATAATAAACATTACTAGAATTACAAGTCTTAGGACAATTTTTCCTAGGAAAATAAGTGCCAGACATATATTACTAGCTATGGACTTATTTTCCTAGGAAAATTTGTCCTGGGACTTAAGTCCCAGGACATTGGACTTGATTAGGACTTGATTAACTAGGAAAAAAAGTCTGGCGGACAAATTTTACTACGGGACCAAATTTACTGTTACAATTGCCCTGTATACGTTGTTTTACATATTTGAACAAATTTATATGTCTGAATAAAATTTAGTAATTGAACATAGCAATGATAAAATGAAAGCTACATATTTAGAATTCTTTTAGCTCTTTACCCATGGTTGCACTTTCTGCACATCCTGTATATAACTTTTAGGTAGCATTTTGAGGCCAACACATTTCAGGTGATATCACTCCAGACACCCATCGCAAACTATATAGAGCCATATATCATATATGCACTTCTATACCCTAACAGTTCCATTTTACTATAACCTTCTTTAGCGATAACTACACATAATTAGCATCTTGGAACTGTTGCATTAGAATCTTAAAAGGATATAAACTTTTCACTGACCACGAATTGGACATCTTGTTCATTCGTATCTATACTTAACGGTTAACCCGCTGCAATTGTTTGCACCTGTCCTAAGTCAGGAATCTGATGTTCAGTAGTTGTGTTTTGTTGATGTGGTTCATAAGTGTTTCTCGTTTTTTATATAGATTAGACCGTTGGTTTTCCTGTTTGAATGGTTTTACACTGGTTATTTTTGGGGTCCTTTGTAGCTTGCTGTTTGGTGTGAGCCAAGGCTCTGTGTTGAAGACCGGTACTTTGACCGATATTGGTTTTATTTTTATAAATTTTGACTTGGATGGAGAGTTGTCTCATTGGCACTCGTACCACATCTTCTTATATCTATTAAGAATGGTGACTTGTTTTAATTGACCCCTTACGGCAAAGTGAACGTCATGTTGTCAATACATCTGGAAATTATAATTGTTTAAACTTATTTCACAGATTGATTGCAAAAGAAACATTTTTTTAAATTAGTGCCATCCTGAATATAATTTGCGGGTAACAATAAAAAATGATATGATTGTTACCTGCAATTTCCGTATGAAACCGGGTCCCTGTCCGTAAATACTTTTCTGCAATTAGTCTTGGAAGTAATAATAATTATTTTGTATTGTTACTTTTTGCAGGTAATCGTAGCCAGTGCCTAATAACAAATTTTACTAGCTGCCAAACTGCAGAAGCAAAAGCTCACACGGACATAGTTTTGATTACATGAATAATAAATATTATATGACCTCTACATGGGCTATTAGTTGCATTCATATTTGAAAGAATTGGACCTAAACAAAATACAATCTGTTGAAGAATTGCATTATTGAACACAGTAAAAATGATCTGCAAAATACAATGTAAGATCTACAAATAAATCAACACGGACTAATTATAAATCATCCGTCAACTCCTTATAGAACACTAAAACTGATTAGATACTCAAGTTAAATAAGTCAATAGGATTGTCATGATTGTCTGAAGAGAAATATTTTAACCACTTACAACAAGGTCTTTACTATTTAAATCATTCAACACTTTCTATGGACTATAAATGGCTTATATATAGATCTGAAATTACCAGCTGTATAGACAATTATATAGGTTTTTACAGGTACAGATTTTGTTTTTCATTGATATGATATTAAACATCTGAAATATTTATGTGTTTTGTTCCCTGTTCTAAATATGTTTATAAAGTGTGTATAATACTCAATTTACAGTGCACACAGGTCAAGATTTTGGTCAACAACTGCAACAGATACAAACAGTCAAACAAATGATACACCAAAGACATCAGAAAATACTGAATCTAATGATGCGACTAAATCAGAGATTGCACAAATAGAGTTAAAATGGAAAGAAGAAAAATCAAAACTAGAAGATGATTTAAAGTCATTTAAAGTAAGTTTATTATCCACTTATCCAGAGGAATAATAGCTATAGGATAGATATACATTTTTGTCGAGCCTGCAACTTTTGTCGCAGAAAGCTCGACATAGGGATAGTGATCCAGCAGCATTAGCTAACTTCTTAAAAGCTTTATATTTTAGAAGGTGGAAGACCTGGATGCTTCATACTTTGTATATAGATGCCTTATGTTATGAAGTTTCCGTCTGTCATATGTCCATTGTCCTTGACCTCATTTTCATGGTTGAGTGACTACTTGAAAAAAAGTTAAGATTTTTTGTAATGTTAATTTCTCTCTTATTATGAATAATAGGATAACTATATTTGGTATGTGCATACCTTGCAAGGTCCTCATGCCCATCAGACAGTTTTCACTTGACCTCGACCTCAATTCAGGAATCAGTGAACAAGGTTAAGTTTTGGTGGTCAAGTCCATATCTCAGATACTAAAAGCAATAGGTCTTGCATATTTGGTGTATGGAAGGACTGTAAGGTGTACATGTCCAACTGGCAGGTGTCATCTGACCTTGACCTCATTTTCATGGTTCAGTGGTTATAGTTAAGTTTTTTAGTTTTGGTCTGTTTTTCTTATACTGTATGCAATAGGTCTCTATATTTGGTGTATGGAATGATTGTAAGGTGTACATGTCTAGCTGGCAGGTGTCTTCTGACCTTGACCTCATTTTCATGGTTCAGTGGTCAAAGTTAAGTTTTTGAGTTTTGGTTTTTTTTTCTAATACTATATGCAATAAGTCAACTATATTTGGTGTATGGAAATATTTTATGATGTACATGTCAGTCTGGCAGGTTTTATTTGACCTTGACCTCATTTTCACGGTTCATTGTTGTATGGAAGGATTGCAAGCTATACATGTCTGCCTGGCATGGTTCATCTGACCTTGACCTCATTTTCATGGTTCATTGGTCAATGTTTAGTTTTCTTGGTTAAGTCTGTATCTTAGAAACTATAAGCAAAAGGTCAACTATATTTAGTGTATTGAATGATTGTAACGTGTACATGTATTTCATGTTTGGTTTATATCACCTTGACCTCATTTTCTTGGATCATGTTAAGTTTATGTGTTAGTTGTAGTAAAGCTTTATATTAAGGACTATCAACATAATATCAATGATTAATAAAGAAGGCGAGACATTTCAGCGTGTGCACTCTTGTTAGCATTTGCTTTCTTTTTTTAAGGTCATTGGTCAAGTGAGCTGTTCTAATCATTTGGCATACACGAAATAGGTCATCAAAGCTGAAATTCTCAGTCCACTTCTTATAAAAGTTATTGCACTTGAATGATAATTTCGACCTATTTTTGTGTGATTGGCAAACAATCTAGTAGACCGAGATAAACTGAACAAAATTATCAGCAATTCAAGATTAACAAAAAAGGTTCATTGGACAAAGTCAACTGTTCTATTGCATTATAGATGTTATGGATGATCACAAGTTATGAAAAATAGATGTTGTTTAAAGAATTCTACTTGACATAAAGCAAACAACAATCAATTGAAATTTCTGTCAGGAATAATAAAATTTCAAAACAAGACTGTCATTATTTCTTTATATGAAGAGTTTGTCTAAAAGATTTGTAAATTACAAATGTTTATTTCCTTTATTGTTTATTTGATGTGGTTTTATTTGTCTTTTATATAATTGTATAGCAGACTGGAAAACAGTTTGTGGGAAACACTAGAATGAAAAGTTTAAACCTCTAATTCTGCAATTAATGATTTTTTTAATAATTTGATCTCAGGCAAATCGAGTTAAATTTTACTTTGAAATTGCTATGGAAAAAAATTGTACGTTTATTATATATCTTACTTTTGTAGGACAAATATGTACGGTCGTTAGCAGAAACAGAGAATGTGAGACAGAGGATGATCAAACAAATAGAGGATGCTAAAGCATTTGGAATACAAGGGTTTTGTAAGGATTTACTTGAGGTGGCTGATGTTTTAAACATGGCAGTTGACAATGTTCCAAAAGAAGAAGTACCTAAAAATGTTCATTTGAAAAACTTATTCGATGGTTTAACAATGACAGAATCACAGTTACAGAAAGCGTTTAACAAGCATGGCTTGGTGAAAATTGAACCAAAAGTAGGAGACAAATTTGATCCTTATGTACATGAAGCCATGTTTCAAGTACCCACAGAGAACAAAGAATCGAACTCAAATGTTGCTGTTGTCAATAAAATAGGGTACAAGTTGAAAGAAAGAACAATACGACCAGCAATTGTAGGAGTATTTAAAGCATAAGTCATGTGATATTGTAAGGTTAAGTCATCATTGATATATTTAAGTTGAAACTTTTTAATTTTTCATGTATTTCAAACATGTCAATAAGATTACCGTATTCTATTGGTTTAGATAACAAGAGAAAGCAGTATGTTTAGAAATTGGTCGTGAAAAAGGGCTTTGATAAGAGAAATATGTCACAGAAACAAGGTTTTTCACCAGTTGTTTCAAAATCATACCATAAATATGAAATTACAAACAAGATGCAATTGAAATATATTGTTGTTATCAGCTTGGATTCAGAACTAGACAGATAATCAGTTTCAGTGCAACAAAAAAAATTTTTTTTTTCTGAAAGTAATTTTAATGGGAACAATTTTGTATTTCTGAATCATTTAGCTCTTTTTCATAAAAAGAGTAAAGGCTGTACAGTGACCTACTGTTGTTTACATCTACTTCATTTGGTCTCTGGTGGATAGTTGTCTCAATCTGGGCAATCTGTCATACCACATCATATTCTTATATAATGATAAAATTAAATTAAGTACAAAACATGTTTCTCTAGAACCAAAAAAAAAATAATGAACAAATAAATGACTTTTGTTCAATCACTTAATTTTAAGAAAAAGTAAATGGATAGTTGTAGATTTCTATAAGTATTTTTGTGATTGGCTAACATAAGTTTTGCGGCTTTAAAATTATTTTTTCATGTGTTTTAACAATAATTCATAAAAGTGCACACTTACAGTTAATAATATCAAAAATATGGGTTAGAATAAAATATGATTTGATTGTGTACATTATTTACATTGTGTGCATATGTTGTAGATATTTTCATTCATATTGTGTGTACACTGTACAAATACTGATTTGCAAACTACAGGCAAAATACATTAAAGCATTATTATTTAGAATTATTTCCATATCTGACTTTCATATGCATATGCGGATGAAGTATGTTACAAAATGTAGCAGTTATAGTGTCTTTTTAACATTATATGTTATATAACACCAAACAATTAAGACTATTTATGTAGATGTCATGAGGCCTGCTTAGTAAATGATTACCATTAAAATTGGACCATTTAAGCAAAATTCTAATATATTTTTTTATAGCCCAGAGCTCCAGATAAGCTGCGTATTTGCGTGATCAGTACTGATCACGCAATACAAATAATTAAAAACCCAATGCAATTGCCCATTGCAGGGTTCAAAAACCCAATTCATTCAAAGGAAAACCCAATTATATGCCAAAACCATGAGTTCTTAACGCTTTTATTCGCTATCGTTTGCGTTATTTACCCTTATCTGATTACAGTCGTCGCGTAAATCTATTTTTATAATATTTATAATTGGAAATGTCCTTTCGTTCTAAAAATAGAGCCCTGCATCAAGTAGCCGAAATGGGTCCCTGTTGGAATTTTCCGTTGCTCAAAAGGTACTCATGTTTATGAAAACATTTCAATCTTCTCGGCGTTTATCCAATTAGCGTTTGTCTTGTTGTCATATTTTTTTCAAATTGCTCGGGATTTATCATAACATACAATGAATTAAAACGAAAGTAAATATCCGATAAAAATATTGAATAGAAGCATGTTTTCAGCTTCTTTTTGATACTTTAGGGAAAGTTATTATGATGATAACAAGACCCGTTTGCGTACCTTAACGAGAACATTGCTAGAACGATAAACACGGGGTTTTGTCAAGAACGAAATCAGTTGGAAAAAGTGAAAGGCCAAATCAATTATGACATGATATATGTAGTTGGAAAGCATCAGAAACCAAAAGTTCTAATCAGCTGGGACAACTAAACCCAGATTTATGTAAATTAAATTAAACAAAAACATTCAAGTATAATTTTAGTTTATATATTATTTTTTTCATTTTAGTTGATGAGTGAATACACATATCTGTTTTTTATGTCAATGCATCTTGACACTTTCTTTGTTTTGGTCTTATTGTTCTGTATGCTTATGATAGTTGTCTTATTGGCAAGTGCAGTTTAACATTGTCATTTGAATGTGGTCTCCGTCATTAAACCTGTAAACCTGGTCAAGGTTTTGGGGTATATCTTAAATCTGGGAACTACTTATTATTTTTATTAAAAAGTAGATCTGGCAAATAGGTGAAAGGACTGGCAAAACTTTCTTACAGCACCTAAATTTCACATATATTACATAAAAATCTAAACACTTAGCCACGCCTACCCCAACTAAACTGTAGGGTGATCATATGGGATCTAGAAAGGTAATTAGTAACTGTCCAACTAGTGACACCAGCTGCAGTTTATATAAGTTGTGAGAAAATACAAAACTGGCAGAACGTTTAAAATCGGACACAAATTAAACGTACAATTGCTCGTCAGTGAATAAACCAAATAAAACAGCTAGCATATATACAAAGAAAGAAACACATTTAAGATGGAAAAACATCTGCATGGGGTTGATATAATGTGATTATAACATGCCTAAACATTCAATATTGTGTTGATGAAAAAACCCAACACATTAAGGAGCTTGTTGGTGAAAAACCCAATTTGATATTTGCTTGAGGGGTGAATTGGAATTCTTTAAAAACTTTATCACCCAATTACATAAAAAAAAATGGTGGGTAAAAACCCCAATTTGTGAATTCTTATCTGGAGCTCTGTATAGCCATTGAATTTAAAGATCATAGAGGTCATCCTCTCTATGCAATGGTATTTAGTCTAAATTATGTTGAAAATGTGTTTGGATACCCAGAAACGATGGACCCTTTGCAGTGGATGCATTTATCTTTTTCTATGTCTCCTCAAGCCCTAAGAGAGAATTATTAATAGTAATCCACATAGTAAATGTATGGTCCATTAGAAAAGGATGTGGAGTAAACAGAGGTAAAGCAGAAACACAATGAAAGATACATGTATAAGGAAATCTTGATGACATTGAAACAATCTATGAAGCAGAAAAATGGCCAATATAGTTGACTAATAAAATAGCTTATATGACACCAATGAAAAACCACTCCATCTCAACACTCCAGGGACACATAATCATATGCCAGCTGTGTAAAATTATAATTTTTTAACTGTAAACATGATAGATAAAGTTTTTCCTTTCTGACAAGAACTTGTGCTAATGTGCCCTTCATTTTAAAACTGGACCCTCTACCCTTAAATCCTGCATTGAACATTGCTTGAAAATACTTGAATGTCCTTGCAAATCCTGGAAAAGGTTTTTTGTTGTTGCAAAAAGAGTTGAATTGTACTACACATGCATGTGGAACAACCTGTCAGTTTGGATGAAAAGCTAATGCTGGGATAAATGGATTGAAATGTAAATGCATTGCTTTGACAACATACAGTTATTATGGTTACAGGTCCTGAGAAATAGTGCTTAATTTCACCCAAAATTTGTAAATTTTGCAGTTTAAAGATGACAAACTGAGAGCCAAATGAAATGGACTGAAATCTTAATAAAAAGAAATCAAATAAAAGTTGGACTTGATTTTCTTCATTTTCACTAACTTATAGTAAACTTATCTAGGCACTCTTTTTCCCCCAAAATTGGACGTTTTTGTGGTTTCTGAATTTTCTACTGCAAATGCACATTAAACAACCAATAAATTCTGTCCAGCTCAACTGGTGGGTAGGATTTTTATAGTAAAACAATTAACACCAATTGCAAAAGTTAAGGGAACAAAACAGAAAATGATTTAATGAACTAAACGAGGTCACAGGTTTTTGTTCTATTTTTATACGACTGTAAAATTTTTGCAGCTGTATAATGGTATGGCAATGTTGTCAGCTTCATCGTCGTCCAAGACATCTGACATAGGGGTAATTGTCCTAGAATTAGGGACCAAAAACAAGCATCTGTCTTGTTTCAGGACAGTAACTTGTGTATAGATTTCTATGAAATTGTACCACAAGGTTCCAAGGTTATGGCCCAAACTGTTTAGGAAGTTGGGCCCAATATTTTAACATAAAATAAATATATGGAGTTATTTGCTGAATATAACCGTGTATTTTTATTTTTGGCCCCGGTTTTCAAATTGGTTCACATTGAGGTCCAAAGGGTTGAAAATAAAACTTTATCTGATTTCATCGACAATTGAATTCTTGGGGTTCTTTGATATGCTGAATCTAACCACTTTTTTTTAGATTTTGGATATTAGACCATAAAAGGTAAATGTCCAATTTCAAATTTTTAAGTTCTTAGACCACATTCATTCTGTGTCACAAACCTATGCCGTGTCAAATATTTAATCATAATCCAAATTCAGAGCTGCATCAAGCTTGAATGTTGTGTCCATACTTGCCCCAACTGTTCAGAGTTCATCCTCTGTGGTTGTATCAAGCTGCATCCTGCGTAGCATTTTATTAACCGGATTTTCGAAGGAAATATTTGTTATTGATTTGGAGATGTATGGCGGGCGGACGGACGGGCGGCTGCCAAACAGTGTCTCTTCAATAACATGAAAACGCTGTGATGATTTTTTTTCAAATTTAGATATGTTGTTTCTTGTGACTAAATGAAGGTCAAGTTCAATTTTCACGATTTTAGTATTTCTCCTTTTTGAGTTATCACTATTTTTAATATCCAAAAGTGGTATTTTTAAATATTTTTCTCTTGTTATCATATTATGATTAACATAACTAAGCCTATGGTAAATGTCTTATCTCACAATAAAAATTGGAGTGACAGATTTATTTGAAAATTTTCTATTTCCTAAGTGGTGATGATTATAAGCTATATTATTAGACATTTTGAAGTTAATTACATTATTAATTATTATATATGTAATGTTAGCGTACTATATTAAACCATAGTTCTGTTCAAAGGGAAATAACCCTTCAGATTTGCAAGTATGATTTTCATTATTAATTAGATCTGGGAAATATCTTAGCATATGATAATCATTGGAGTGACAGATTTATTTGAAAATTTTCTGTTTCCTGATAAGATCTGTAGGACTGGATATATAAAGTTTGAAATTTACTAGTAGGACTGTATAAATGAAGTTTGAAATTTACTGTTCATTATTAGACATTTTGTAGGTAATTAAGTCTCCCTAAACCATATATATTTTACCCCCACCTCATCTTCAGTGATATTCAAAGTACAAAGAGTACACTTTCTATCTAACCTATTTACTCCATGATAACGGCCTACTTCAACAAACAAATTATGAGATGACAATCTAAGGCGAGTTAAATACACTCTAAAATTCATATGTTTGGTTAGATAATTCTGTAAACATACATTATTGACAATATATTTATATAAATAACACTTAGATGAAACGTTCAGTTGATCATTCAAAGTCTGTTTTGCTTGATCATATATCCTTGTTTTTACAAATAATAATAAATTTGTATCAATAATCAAATTGTCTTGGTTATACCAGATCTCATTTAAACCTAAGTTAAATAATAATTGTTGTAGTTGATAAATCCAACTGCTTCTAATATTACAGAAATTATACAGTTGTTCCCTGTAGCAGTTTTTAAGAATACAGTTGCTTGTGGATAACAATTTTAACCAGTACTTCACTATTTTGTACATTCTAAAATATATCAAAGGATATCTACCCAATTCAAAATAAACCATAACATTTGTTGTACATTGTTTGACACCTAATATGTTTTTGCAAAAATCAAGTTGTATTTTTTCAATATTTGGAGCTTTATGGAAGCCCCATATTTCACAACCATAACATAAAATACTGCTAATGTAAGTATCAAATAAATTCAAATATGTAAAAACATTCAAATACAATGACGAAACCTTCGACTTTAAACCAAAAACAGCTTTTCTACTTTGCTCAGCTAAATGTTTTTGAGCTTTAACAAATTTACCGTTAAAATTTAACAGTACACCAAGGTAACAAAATTTATCCACTATGTCAATAGTATTGCCATCATAATACCAAATTTCTTCGTCTTTTACAAAACCTCCGTTTCTAAATACCATAATTTTTGTTTTGGCAATATTTACAGTCAAACCCCATTTACAAGTATATAATAATAATGTGTCTAACATATCTTGCAAGCCAATAACTGAATCAGAAAATAAAATCATATCATCAGCATGCATAAGTAAAAACAATGACAAGTCTTGCACTTCATATGGTATATTACTATTACGTAGAAATTCCATTTCAAAGTCATTTACATATAACGAAAATAGTATAGGAGAAAGAACTTCCCCTTGCATAAGACCAACTGAACTTGTAAACTGCTCAGAATAAAAACCATCAACTTTCACACATACTTTTACTGTAGAATACATTGATTTTAAAACAGACAGTAATTTGCCTGTTATACCAACTCTTGATAGTTTCAACCATAAGTTAAGTCTGGTTACGGAGTCAAATGCCTGTTTGTAGTCAACGAAACAGCAATACAAACGTTTTTTCTTGAAAAGTGCTTTCTGAACGAGTATCAACAAAGAATAAATTGCATCAACAGTGCTGCTACCCGGGCGAAATCCAAATTGCGCATCTGTAATAATATCATTATTCTCAGACCATTTTATTAGTCTTGAATTTATAATAGATGTAAACAGTTTCGCTAAATTACTGACTAAACTGATTACACGATAGTTCGCTGGATGGGACGAGTCGCCTTTTTTAAAAACAGGAATTAACACTGCGAGTGCCCAAGATTTCGGAAAATGTCCTGATGCTAATATCTTATTGAATATTTCCTCTAGGAATGGTAGCAGAATATCCTTAAATTCAATGAATAACTCGTTAAATGTACCATCAATACCATGACTTTTACCACGTTTAAGGTTAGAAATACACTTCAAAATTTCATCTTGTGTAATAGTTTGATCAAGTTCATCATATGTTGTGTCGGAAACGGTCTCTGG